CAATGGACATGAGTTTGAGCAAACTTTGGGAAATAAGTGAAGGATAGGGAAGCCTGGCGTGCTGCAGGTCATGGGGTTGCAAAGAGTCAGACATGACTTAGTAACTGAACAACAACAACAGTCTTTGAATATTCATAGAAAAAAGGTTGTGTGTATACTTCTAGCTCCAAGAAAGCCTAGGAAATCAAGCTTTTATAGCTGGCCATATCACCATCCTAATAAAATCAGTCTTTTATAAAGACAGTGGCAGGAGTAGATACTGAGTAGGCCACTATGGGGTCTGCCTCAGGTTCCTAGGGGAGAATAAAAATATATAGGATATATATAGGATAGCCAGGCCATGGACGCAGCCTAGATGTCCGTCAGCAGACAAATGGATAAGGAAGCTGTGGTACATATACAAAATGGAATATTACTCAGCTATTAAAAAGAATGCATTTGAATCAGTTCTAATGAGGTGGATGAAACTGGAGGCTATTATACAGAGTGAAGTAAGTCAGAAAGAAAAACAGCAATACAGTATATTAACACATATATATGGAATTTAGAAAGATAGTAACAATGACCCTATATGTGAGACAGCAAAAGAGACACAGAGATAAAGAACAGACTTTTGGACTCTGTGGGAGAAGGCGAGGGTGGGATGATCTGAGAGAATAGCATTGAATCATGTATATTATCATATGTGGAATAGATCGCCTGTCTAGGTTCGATGCATGAGGCAGGGTGCTCAGGGCTGGTGCACTGGGATGACCCTGAGGGATGGGATGGAGAGGGAAGTTGGAGAGGGGTTCAGGGTGGGGAACACATGTACACCCATGGCTGATTCATGTCAGTGTATGGCAAAAACCACTATAATATTGTAAAGTAATTAGCCTCCAATTAAAATGAATAAATTAAAAAACTATATATAGGATAGAGATGTTTGTGAAGAAAAGAAAATTTATTTGGAAAATCCCCATTGTACTTCCAGAGTATAGGTTGTTATCCACCATTAGATATGTTTAACATGCTCTCTGAATAATCCATTTCTTTTGATTTCTCTGTGCTGATGATTTGTAAATCTGTTAATTAAGCTCAGTTTTTTCTTCTAAGATTAGACCCAAATATCCAACTCCTGTTACAGATCTCCACTTGGCTATCTAACTGACACCTCAAAGTCTGAACATACACAGAAATAAACATTTTCATCCCTTGTCTTTGTTTTCATATTATTCTTTAACCCAATAAACAGTTTAACTATGCACTCAACTGCCCAAGTCATAAACCAGGCCATCATAGATGTTCCCAACTTTTACTTACTTCCATATCAAATTGATTATCAGTCAGTTTGACACTTTTAGTAATTTTGATAAGCCTTAAACAATTTATACCATACCTTAAAGTTGTTCTAAGCCCTAAATATCTCCCTAATCTATCCATTTTTCTCCTTTCCCATTGATATTACCCTAATTCAGGCACCGTGTCCCACCTAGGTCACTACAGTATCTTGTCAGTGGTCAGTTTTCCATTAATCTCGCCTCCTAATTCATTCTCTAACATGACAGGGACATCTTTCTAATACATGAGTGATCATATTGAGCTACTGCTGAAACTTTTATTGACTTTGCATTGTTCTTTACATAAAGTCCCAACTCCTTAACATGATTTGTAAAGCAGATTTGATCTCTGCTTACCTTCTAACTTCATTTTCCTTGCTCTTCTCTCCAATAAGTATGTCCTAGACAGCATTACTTTTTTCTGGTCCCCACAATGTAAGCTATGCCAGTTACTCTCTTCCACCTTCTTTTAATAATGTTTTTTATTACTAATAATTCTTATCCTACTAATGCTTCTGTTATAAAATTAAACATATCCTCCAAAAAGTCTTTTTTTCTTTCAGTTTTATTGAGACATAAATTACATACACCACTGTATAATTTTACAGTGTATAACATAATGAGTTGACTTACATACATTATGAAATGATTGCCACAGTAGGTTTAGTGAACATCCATCATCTCATTGAGATACAGTATATTAATGAAATTAAAATCATTTTTCCTTGTGATGAGAACTCTTAGAATTTACTCTTATCAACTTTTACATATAACATATAGCAGTGTTAATTACATCTCATGTTATACATTACATCCCTAGTCCGTGAAAGTCTCTTTGATCTGCATAAGTTTAGATTAGGTGGCCTTCCTGTGTGCTTACAAAATGTTCTGTTCAGTCCCTGTCACAGAGTTAAAATACTGCATTTTAACTGCGTGGTTACTTATCCCTCTCCTCACTAGGTTGTAATTGCAGAGATCATGACTTTTCTATTCACTGTTATTGCAGCATAGCTACAATTACTGATTCAGGTGGGCAATCAGTGAAGTGAAGTGAAATTTGCTCAGTCGTGTCTGACTCTTTGCAAGCCCATGTACAGTCCATGGAATTCTCCAGGCCAAAATACTGGAATGGGTAGCCTTTCCCTTCTCCAGGGGATCTTCCCAGCCCAGGGATCGAACCCAGATCTCCCATATTGCAGGTGGATTCTTTACCAACTGAGCCACAAGGAAAGCCCAAGAACACTGGAGTAGGTAGCCTATCCCTTCTCCAGAAGATCTTCCTGACCCAAGAATGAACTGGGGTCTCCTGCATTGCAGGCAGATTCTTTACCTACTGAGCTCTCAGGGAAGCCCAGGAATCAGTCTCTAATAGACTTTAATCTAATACTGTGTTTATTTATCTTTATTGTAAAATACATGGTAGAGGATACAACAAGTATAGCATTTTCATCTTATCAAGAAATTCAGAGCTATCCTTATACACATACATTGTGTATAAGATACACATTTTGCCCTCTCATTCACATATGTGTATACATCTGCCAGGTTTGAAAGCTAAGAGTAATGGAAGTCACTGTAATGTGTAGAAGCAACAGCCCCTTTTTTCTTTCTTTTCTCTCCCCCACCATTCTTTATTATGGGCATCTTTTATACTGTTCTCATGTAGGCCCCAAGTCTGCAATGTGTATAGTTCTTGACAACAACAAAAGCAGACACAACACTCCTCATTTATTTTACCTGTTGTTTTCAAGGCTGAGAGACTTGAGGTCATTCTCAACCAGGCCCTCACCACTCCAGGCTGTATATTAACCCTTTACTCATACCGTTATCTCCCCAGGGACTAGTGCAATGCTCAATAGATATGGTTGGATTCTATGTAGTAGAACACAACTAGTAGGCAAGAATCATAGCACAGCCTTAAAGAGAGTTCAAAATAGAAACATTGAAAGTGGAAAAATATATATCATGCAAATGCTAAGCAAAAGAAAATATGGTATAGTTATAATATCAGACGAAACAGGCTTTAAGAGGGGAAAATATTTCTGTTGATAGAAAAGGATTACTTTGTAGTATTAAAAGTGTTCAATTTGGAAAATTATCATTTAAAATTTGTATGTACCTTTAATATATATAATACCTCAAAATATATAATGAAAAAATTGACTAAACTAGAAGAAAAACTAGAGAAGTCTATAATCTTAGGTGACTTTAGTGCACAATTATCAGTACCTTATAGAAGATACAGAAGACAAACTATGATTAAAAAATTTGACCTATAGAGCAGATGTAAAATATTGCACCCAACAATTGCAGAAACACTTTATGGTCCACATTTACAGAAATTGACCATATACTTGCTCATACAGTAAGTCTTAACAAATTTCAGATGACTGTAATCAGAATATAATTTCTGACTATAAAGCAATTATATTAGAATTGAAGTAATATAATTTTAAATAACATGGATCAAAGAAATCCTAGAAATTGGAATTGAATTGAATCAATGGAAAACAGTTTGACACTTAGAGTAATTTTGATAATAATATGCCCTCTGATCCAGCAACTACATCCCTAGGTACATACTCTGGAGAAGTTTTTGTATGTGTGCAGTAGAATGTGTGAATAAGAATGTTTGTAGCATTGAAAACTAGAAATAAACCAAAACTGTCCATCAGCACAGCAATGGGTAAATAAGTTGTGATATTTATGTAGCATCAAAAGTGATTGAACCATGGCAACATGTAACATAACTGGATCTTAAAAGACAAAAACAAATGTATGTAATATTATTCTATTGTAAATTAAAAAATTTAAAAACCTGGTATTTAGGAGTGCATATTTAGGAAACCAGTTTAATTTAATAAATATGTAAGGAAAAGCAGGAAAATGTTTATAAAAAATGTCAGAGGGATTTTCTCTAAGGAGTAGGGGAGAGAGTTAGACTGGGAAGAGACAACATGTCTTGACCTGGATGGTACCCAGCTATTGGCTTTATAAATATTTGTTATGTTATACCTTTATATTCTATGAAGTTTTCTTGTATTTAATAATTCACACTTTTAAAAGTTAAATTTCCCCACTAGTTTCAGGTTTCCAAAATACCTATCCAGTGCTCAGTATAGACGAGAAAGAGGTTAGTTGTTGGAGCCAAGTCTGAGAAGATGTGGGAACATATAGAATAAAGAATGCAGGGGAGTGGACTAACCTCAGTCAAGAAGAAATGGGCATCTGTTTCTTTGAAAACTAGGAATGGGAGAAAGAATACAGGGAGAGGATGCAGAAACACTTAGGAGGAGAGTTTTAAAAAGTTCAGCTATATAAGATAGGAAGTAGAATCATTTGCTAAAAGTGAACCTAACAAAAGGGGAGGGATATCTGGGGAGTATGAGGCAGAAATACACCATTTGTTCAAGTTTCAGCAGGTATTTAAAATTTCTTGTAACCATTCAGAATTAAAGTTTATGTGGGACTTCTGATATTGGTTATTCACAAGCAAGATCTTTCCTCACAGGTTAATATGACTCTTAATTATTTAATTATATTATACATATGTTCTTTAACATGTAATGAAAGATTATAAATGTTTACATTTAACTGGGAGGGCTATTTTTATAGGCAAAATATACTTCTATTGCCAAAGAATAATGATCTTACAAACTTCATTTTTCTTTTCTTCTTCAGGTCATGTATGGAATGTTGGTCTTCACTTTAGTGGTTCGATCTATTTATATTGTTACATGGTAAGTAATTTGGATCATCAAGAGTATACTTAGGTGGTAAATCTATAGCCTAAATTGAAATAACTCATAAAATCCAACTCCAGAAGAGATATTGATAGAAAACTTATAACCAAACATTTATTATGGTATATTGCAAGGAATACTAATTCTTTAAGCAAGTTGTTAATAGGCATCATGTGAAAGCAAGACTTTAAAGAAATTTGAGGAAAGCTGTGTATGATGGCCTCCTTTTGAGTATTTATAATGTACATGAGTATATTAAAGGCCTTGAAAACTCCTACAGTAGAAAGGAAAATAATTGTTTTTATGTTTCTCAAACTACTTAACTAAGAAACCCTTTTTGCAGAATATGTCTCAAGAAAGGTTGTCTGTGTCACAGAGAAACAGTGTTCCAGAAAGATCATTTAGGAAGTAGGCATAAACTTTATAGAGTTTGTGAAAAATAAAATAAGTATTTCATGTGAGTACCTGACATAGGGCCTGGCCATATAGCAGTTGCTCAGTAAGTAAGTAGTGTATGATTTATGGGTTTGTTCCTTTTTTTTCCTCTTTTATTTAAACTTTCTATTTTGAGATAATTGTAGAAACACATGCATTTGAAAGAAATTAAATAGAGATCATCTGCACTCTTTACCAATTTCCTCAAGTGATAATGTCTTGCAAAACTATTCTACAATATCATAACAGGATTTGACATTGACAGAGTGAAGATACAGAACAATTCTATCACCCTCTGTTGTCTTTCTGTAGCCACACACACTTTTGCTCCTACCCCATCCCCTCACTACCTATCCTTAACCCCTAGCAACCACTAATCTGCCCTTTGTTTCTCTAATTTTTTCATTTTAAGAGTACTATATAAATGGAATCATACAGTATATACAACCAGTGGGACTGACCTTTTGTATTCAGCATAGTTCACCGGAGATTGATACAAGTGATTGAATATATCAGTAGTTCATCCCTTTTGTTGTGGATAATATTTCATGATATGGGTGTAATCATTAATCATTAATCATTCACCTGTTGAATGACATCTGAATTTATAGTTTTTTATTTCTAGTTTCACTATTACAACTAAGTCTGCTATGAAAATTTGTTTGCAGAGAAGTTTTCATTTCTCTGGAATAAATGCCCAGAATGCATTTACTTGATTGTATGATAGTTGTATATTTAATTCTTTTTAAACCTGCCAGACTTTTCCAGAGTGACTGTTCTGTTTTGCATTTCCACCAGCGCTGTATATGTGACCCATTTTCTCTGTATCCTTGCCAACGTTTGGTATTGTCACTATTTTTAATTTTAGCCATTCTTATAGATATGTACTGATATCTTATTGTGATTTTAATTCTCATTTCCCTAATGGGTATTGATGTTGAACATATTTTCATGTGCCTACTTGCCATCTATATATCCTTTTTGGTGAAATGTCTGTTCATGTCTTCGTCTATTTTCTCATGAGATTGTTTCTCTTTTTTTCCAGTTGAGTTTTGAGCATTCTTTGTATATTGTAGATACTAATCCTTCCTCAAATATGTGGCTTACATTTTCTCACAATTTGTACTTAGTCTTTCCATGCTCTTCATGTGGTCTTTCACAGAGCAAAAGTTTTTAATTTTTATGAAGTCAGTTTATCAATTTTCCTTTTATATATCACACTTGGGTGTCCAGTCTAAGGACTCTATGCCTAACCCTAGGTTTTCCTTGTTTTTTTACTAAAAGTTTTGTATAGTTTTACATTTTACATGTAAGTTTATATTTTTTTGAGTTAATTTTTATATAAGGGTAAGGATTAGGTTGAGGTCCATTTTTTAGCCTTTAGATATCCATCTACTCCAGGACCACTGGTTGAAATGGCCATTTCTTCAATGAATTGCTTTTGCGCCTTTCTCAAAAATCATTTGAATACATTTATGTGGATGTATTTCTGAGTTTTAAAATTATATTCTACTGATTTTGGTGTCTATTCTTCTACCAGTTCTATAGTCTATTGATTACCGTACCTGTAGAATAACTCTTCAACTCATACAGATTGATCCCTCTCACTTTTCTTTCAAAATTGTTTTTGCTATTTGGATTTCTTTGCCTTTACATGTAAGTTTTAGAATAATAATGTCTATATTTAAAATCTTATTGGGATTTTGATAGGAATTGCATATTGCATTAAACCATCATATCAATTTATGAAGAATTGACATCTTTACTATGTTGAGTCTTCCAATCTGTAAACACTGTGTGTCTTATGTGTCTCTTCATTTATTTGGATAATCTTTAATTTCTTCCATTAGCATTTTGGAGTTGTGATTTTTTTTTTTAACAATGGTATTGTATTTTTAAATCTTGCTGTCCAAACATTTATTACGTATAAACACAGCGTATTAATAATAGTACCAGAGAGATCAAGATGGCAGAATAGAAGGACATGGAGCTCACCTCCTCCCACAGATACGTCTCACAGAACAGTTCTTATAATGACTACTGAACACTGCAAAAGAGCTCATACAACCAAAGCTGCAAGAAAGTTCACCATGTAACTGCATAAAACGAAAGGAAAAAAAATACAGAATTGGGCTTTGACCTGCACCCTGGGAGGGAACTGTGAAACAGGAAAGATTCCCTCATCCTGGGAATGCCCTTCATCAGTTGGGAGATCAGTCAGGACAGAAAGGGAGCATCGGAACTTCAAAGGAGCGTACAGCAATTGACTTGTGGCAGGCAAAACAGAGAGACCAGTACAGAAGATCTGACCACCATACTGCACTCCCTAGCCTGAGTCATGCATCTGCTGTTACATGCAGGGGCTGAGTGCTGAAATTTGGGCTTCAGCAGACAAACCTGGGGAGAGGACTGGACTGGGGTTGGCTGTACAGAGACAGCCTAAAGAAGCTGGAGTGTGGCCCAGGCCACAACTGGGGGTATGTACAAGATGGAGCCCACGTCCACCATAGAAGCCCCATTGTTAGTGCACACACACACAGAAGGGAGGGGCCCTGCCATAGAATACTTATTTTCCTCTTTGCTCACTGCAGGCACAACTCCCCCTCTATGAGCTCTGGAAGCTTGCAAGCCCTGGCAATTGGCCATACACTGAGGCAGGGCTGAAATCTGGGCTTGCAGCTTTGTGACTGATGGATTTACAACACTGGTGCCTTTGTAAGTTCAGTGCCTGCTGGACATCTCAGTGGATTACTTGTGCTCCTGAGCCTGGAGTGGGTCCAGATTTAGTAGCTGTTGGCTTTGTGGGCTTGTAAATGCAGAGGTGGGCCAGGGTCTACACTGATTCCATAGTTCCCATGGCAGTTCCAGGGGAGCATTACAGCAAGTCCCAGTGCCTGACTTTGGCAGATCTTGACCAGTGGCTTTTGAGCACGGCAGCTGAGGGACATTCATACTGATTGCCTGCATTCCCATGACTGAGGCGGGGCCGAGGGTTGTACCAACAATGGAGTACTTTGTGAGCCTACACAATGGGTGGCAGATGACACCACAGAACTCACATTCCGGTGGACAGCTCCTGCGGAGGAATACTCAGTGGTTCCTCTCCCAGCAGAAGCATGCCAGTTCCATGTACCCCACACTGAGTTTTGAATTGGATCTGGGGGTTTCTACTCCAGCAACTGGAGAGCAGATCCTGCCCCTGACAGGTCCGTGACAGCCACAGAGTAGAGAGGAGGCCCCAGTCAACATACAGTGCAGGCTCTGGTCACCACAGCACCAAACCCTAAGAAAGGAATAAGAGCCAGCACATACTGAGGAAAGACATGGCAGGCATCCATACTAAAAAACAAACTTTGCACCAAAAATATTAGTCTCATACAGGCTCCACAGGAATGTGAAAGTTGCTCAGTTGTGTCTGACTCTTTGTGACCCCATGGGCTATACAGTCCATGGAATTCTCCAAGCCAGAATATGGGAGTGGGTAGTCTTTCCCTTCTCCAGGGGATCTTCCCAACCCAGGGTTTGAACCCAGGTATCCTGCATTGGAGGTGGATTCTTTACCAGCTGAGCCACAAGGGAAGCCCAAGAATACTGGAGTCAGTAGCCTATCCCTTCTTCAGCGGATCTTCCCAACCCAGGAATCAAACCAGTCTCCTGCATTGTGGGTGGATTCTTTACCAACTGAGCTATCAGGGAAGTCCCTCCACAGGAATGTTCCCACATAAAAACAGCCCTTAAAGACCACAGTAGATAACTGCTCCTCCTAAATTCATAGAGAAATAGAGGTAAAAAGAAGCAGAGGAAACACTGCCAATTAAAAGAACGAGAGAAGTCCCCTGAAAGAACAATAAAACAGACCTCTCCTGTCTACTAGATCCCAAATTCAAAAAGGAGGTAGTAAAAATACTGAAGGAATTAAGAAAGGCTATCAACAGAAATGTACATCACTGTAACATGGAACTAGAAACTATTAAGGGGAATCAGTTAAAACTAGAAAACTCATTTGCTGAAGATGAAAGCCAAGCTGAAGGCAGTGAATAGCAAACTAAATAATGCAGAAGATCAAATAAGTGATCTGGAAATAGGATAATGGAAATTACCCAATCAATACAGCAGACAGAAAGACTAAAAAAAAAAGAAAATCAATATATGAGACATTTTGGATAATATAAAGTGAGCCAATCTGTATAATAGGGATCCTAGAAGAAGAAAAAGGGAAGAGGGTTGAAATTATAGTTGAAGAAATTATGCCTGAAAACTTCCCAAACTTCAAGAAGGAAACAGATAGCCAGGCACAGGAAGCCCAGACAAAGAGAACCCAAACAAACCTACACCAAGACATGTTATAATTAAAATGGTGAAGATTAAAGATAATGAGGTTTTTAAAGGCAGCTAGAGAAAAACAAAGAGTTAGTTATAAGGGAATCCCCATAAGGCTCTCAGCTGATTTCTTTACAGAAACATTCGAGGTCAGAAGGGAGTGGCAATATATATTCAAAGTTCTGAAAATGAAAAGCCTGTAGTTTGGGATACTCTACACACCAAGATTATCATTCAGAATA